TATGCTTAGCCCTGGTTCTTCCTGCACAGGGCACTCCATCATTTGTTTTTGTTTCTACTGGAAATGATACAATAGATGAAGGACATGTGGTTTTTCTTCACTATCGAGTGGTGGACCAGACTGATAACCACTCAATCTCTTGGTATAGAGAAGCAATAACTGGTGATAAGACAGTTATTTACAGGGATGGTGTGCTGATAAATAATAACCTAGGTAGAGAGGCAGGAGCTTACACACTCTACAACGGATCTGTAAGAATAATACAGTATAGAGGTCGTGATCTTGGTCCTCTTCTTAATGGTAACAATTACACTTGTGAAGTAACAGAAAAGGAAGAAGGCAAAGTAGTGTTGGTATCAAGTGGTTTCATCCTGGATGCTCGCTATTCTCCATCATCTTTGTATCCAATCTGTGAATCATGTGGCTTTTCATCTAATTTGACAGGATCAACTGTCACTATCTCTTGTTACTCTGAACTTGGTAATCCATGGGTCCAACTACAATGGTCAAGGAATGGAGAAGCAATTGAAAACCTAATGCCTGTCACAATTCATTCTTACATATACTTGAATTATACATTCATTCTTAAAGCAGATGACTTAGAAAGTAACTTTTCTTGTACTAACGGAATACAAAGCTGCAAATTAACAACTGACCAAGCAAGTGCAGAAGGATGTTCCCCTATCAACTCTGATGCACCACAAATACCTAGCACTGTTATTGCTCGGACTGACAAAGATGAAGAGGAAAGTTCACCAAAAATGCTTCTTGATGTGGAGACCAGCATGTGTCAATCATCTACCACAATTGTTGTCCTATCTGTCATCATAGCAGTTCTTGTTGCAATTGTTGTCACTCAAATAGCTGTTATAGGAAAGTTGCGCCAACGCAAGAAAGCGAATAAAGGGATAGAAATAACAACCACTGGTGTACAAGATCAAACACCTGACTACATTAATGTCAAACAATCGACTGATAACAGGAGTTTTCGAACATATGAGAATCTGAAGCCTAGAGAAGAAGCTAACTACAGCTCAATGCAGAACCCTCAACACAAAGAGAACAACCAAGATCTAGAAATGTTGACCACTGTACCAGACCCAGCTCCTGATTACATTAATGTGAAACAATTGACTACCAATCTTAAGATTTAGTAATAATAAAAGTTTGGGAACGTAAACCTGCAATCAATAATTTCCTACACAAATTCAACAATCCACATTAATCTCTGATTTCATATTCATATATTTATATTGTCTTAATACATTTGTGTTTGTTTCTATTATATGATAATTATTTCTTTTATATTAATTTTATTTACTGTTGAAAATCTTAATTGTAAACTTCCATGATTTTTTTTATTTAATAATAATAATAATAATAATAATATTTCTTAAATCATTCTGTATTGATATTCCTATAAAATATAAAAAAGTAAGCATTTACAAAAACCAGGAAAACAAAAAATGGTAAAGTGATGTATTTATGACCCTCATGGTCATAACCTGGAAGATCAAATTGCAAGAGCCTAACACCAGTAACTGTAACGAATACAACGTTCTAAAAAATGTGTATGAATCATATTTACAAAGAAAACAATAAATTCAGTAGACTGTAAAAAGAGGTCAGCATTTCCACTTTGAAAATACTAATGACTTAAAGGAGTTGTTCTTATGACAGGGAAATAGATTACAATTAAGTGATTGACACAAATGTAGATATGTAAATAGTTTTTCTTTTAAAATTTCGTAAGTTAAATTTATCATGTGCACTTTGAGTAATGCCAACGTCATTAGCGCCACTGAACATTGCATCTGCCATGGATATTGGCACTTTACAAATTACTGCTGATTGATTGATTAATTGAATAATAATAAATAGATATATAATTAAATTCAGCTTGATATATACTCTGCTTTGTTGGTGAAGTGAGTTGAAGATATTTGGGATTAGTGGCCTGACTAATTAGTAAACTAAAAACCAAAGCTTGGTTCCCACTAGGACGCAACACAACAACGCAGATGCAGAGTATCGACGCAAAGTGATGCAATGCGAGGGTTTTGCGGGTTCCAAAGTGGGAACCAACGACACAATCTTGGCAACGCAACGTCGACGCAAATTAACTTTTGCATTGTTTGCGGATCATCGTTGTGTTGTTTGCGTAAAGTTGAATTGATTTAAATTTCCGCAACGCAAGGAAAAAGCACATTTGCACATGTTTTTGTAGTTAGTGTATGCCTAACATCATGTTTACATTTTGTCTTATTAAATTAAAACTTGCCTGTCATGTGAATTACATTTTATAAGAATTTAAGAGTAAAGACTAATTACTACAGGCTAATGGGTTTCACAGGCCAGTATTTAGGGGGGTTTGTCCGAACCCTCCCGCGGGAGATGGAGTTCCGTGAAAATTTTTATTTTTATTTCTTTTTTTCAATTTTTCATGGCGGCTCGTACGCTAACACACATATAATAAAACGTTATTTTTATTTTTATTTTGAAATCCACAATTTTGGAATCGGAGGGTTCGCTAAACAAGGTATAAAATGGTCTCGCCTTATTTAAAGCACTAAAAATGTATATTTATTTATACTGTAAAAGGGCCTGGAGGCCTATCACACTGAATAAAGTCCCCTTTAGGGGAGAGAAGAAGTATATGGGTTTTGATAAGGATCAGTTCTGCATATTCCTAAGCCGAACCCCCCCCCCCTATTGAAATTCCTAAATACGGGACTGTTTCAACAGTGGTGTCTAATTGAGGGAGTGGATGGAACACAGTACTTCAAGAAAGCTTCCACTCTCCCAGGCACACCCACTCCATTGGAAAAAAAAATATGCTCACGCAGTACAGGAACACACATCACCTTAATTTATTCTTCAAGCACTCCACTTAACCCTCTAGTTACCGTCTTCGACCTGTCTCTTATACACATCTAGATGTGTATAAGAGACAGGCTAACTACAGCTCAATGCAGAACCCTATGGGTTTTGATAAGGATCAGTTCTGCATATTCCTAAGCCGAACCCCCCCCCCCCTATTGAAATTCCTAAATACGGGACTGTTTCAACAGTGGTGTCTAATTGAGGGAGTGGATGGAACACAGTACTTCAAGAAAGCTTCCACTCTCCCAGGCACACCCACTCCATTGGAAAAAAAAATATGCTCACGCAGTACAGGAACACACATCACCTTAATTTATTCTTCAAGCACTCCACTTAACCCTCTAGTTACCGTCTTCAACTGTAGTCGAATTTGACCTCAAACCGAGAATTCCCATTTTCGACTGCAATCGAAATTTAGTGACTAAAAAATAGGTGGTTTTCAAATCGCTCCTGTTTTTATTTTAGCTCCAATACGTCAGAAATTTTGAACACGCATGCGTGAAGCTTTCTTCTTTCGAAATCTGTGAAGAACTCACATGCACTTATATAAAAATGTTTAGAAATATCAATTTGAAATCGTTATTAATTTCAAAAATTTTCCGCCGCACAAGATGTGTACACAGCTGAGGAAGCGATTGACCTGATTTTTGATTCAGATAGCGATGAAAGTGAGTTTTTAGATGTGCGAGACTTAGACGTGCCTGATAGTGATGATGACGGTGGGGCTTCAAGCAGTTCTGACGGCGGAGATGTTCTTGATGAAGATGAGCCTAGGCCTAGAAATGTGAGGGTGGTCGTTGCTTTTGAATGGAAAGATCGTGCTTATAGTTATGGATGGTTGGGTAAATAAATTATATAACTGTGTGGAATAGGAATGTTTTATATATATGTTTTTTTGGCTATAATTTTTTTGTTTGTTTTTGCTGACAATTTGTATGTAGCATTTTTCTGTCATTTCTATTATATTATATTATGAATAAAAAATCCTAAAAATATAAATTATACATCAAATGAAAGCTTATTCTATAAGCTTTCTTTGTTTTTGAAACATTTTTCTGTATAATTTACAGAAAGTTCCCAAAAATATATACTCAAAAAACGCAAAAAACCTAGTTACACTGCAAAAGAATCCGGTATTCAAGGGTTTGCACTACAAAAGAATCCGGTATCCAGAGGGTTAACATTTGTGTCCCTCCCCCTCAAAAAAAAAATGTCAATGTTCCCAGATATGCCAGTTGGTTTTAATCACTTCTTGATGGAGACTTAAGCCCTTTATAAACAGCGCTGCAATACCGCAATATTGCGGAAAGCACGCCGACACGGGTTTCTGTCAATATACCGACTTACCTTAGACCACCTCGGCACCTAGTAATATTGTGGTAACAGTTACTGGCTTGCTCTGTCTGAATGGGTCTACTCGATATTTTGGCAATCAAGCCGGTGTGTGCATTTATGCATAAACAAACAAGGTTAAAGTTGAAAACAATTGCACGGCGATATAAAAACCGCCAATATTACGCCATTCCATAGGACCCTTTCAGACAGAAAAGCATAAGATTATCGCAATATTGCGGTAACGGGGGCGTTGTGTAAAAGAGTATAGACCGGTTATTATGCCAACATATTTACAGCAATATTGCGGCAAAGTCTATCTGAAAGGGGCTTTATAAATAGTCGACCATAGGAATAGATAAAATTTTTTTTTACTTTGTTTAGCGAACTCACCGCCCGCCAAAAATGATGATTGTGAATAAAAATAAAATTTTATTTTCAGCTAATTAGCACACACCTGCTACCACGATAAAAAGGGAAATTTCAGAAAAAAATAAAAGTTTTTTTTAAATTTTTCTTACACCTGCTGCTACCATCAAATCTCCAAATATAAGAATTGCCTATTTATATTCCTACTTATATAAATTTAAAGCATTTAACCATTACATTACTACAGTGTTTACATTATTCACCAATAAAATTTTATTTTTATTTTCTTCTCCATCTGGATGTCTAAATAAGAAAAAAAAATATTTATATTTTTTTTTCACCCTTCTCTGATGATCCTTAAAAAATTAAGTTTGCGAAACAACGTATAAAAAAAGTCCTGCTATAACGTAAGTTACCTTTGCTTTGAGGGACAAGCTGTTCGACTATAGGATGAATATTTGTGTTCCAGAACAGGGATTCTTTTGGACTCTCTTTTTCTTTTCGACTTCCACTACCTGTATAAGGTAATGTGAAACAAACAAACAAAATTAAATGTATAAATATTGAAAGAATGTATTAACACTTAGAGCTCAGTTGTGGTTGTGTTTTCCCAATGCAGAATTACCTAATTATTGCATTATCCAATTGTCCGATTATTATTATGCAATAAACAGGAAGATTACCATCAAATTATTACATGGCATTTGTCCAGCGTCAATATTTCAATATGAATGATAAAATGCTGAAGTTTTAATGCTGCTGCAAAAAAACATTTTGTGCACATATTATATTATTATTAAATTTCGCAGGAAATTCTAAGACTAAAAGTAACTTCAGTTTCTAATAACCAATGCAATCAATTAATCAATTAAAGATGTCAGTCAGAAGGGAAGACAAACCCATCACCAGATAGAGAGACAGACCCACAAAATATAGTAATTACAAAGATACCTGATCTAGTAGTTCTGTCAGATGAATAACCACTCTCACTGCGGGCGGAGCTGCAGCTGTTTGACCTTTGACTAAAGAATAATTAATAATATATGTTAATTATGTTATATTATTACGTTATGTTTACTTAATCGTTTATTACTAAATCTAAAAATACTACTAAAAGCTACTGGTGAGAAAAAACCCTTATTCTTTTTGGCTTTTTAACATAATGAAATTACACAAATCAATGGTGCAATAGGCAATTTGTCGGTTTATCCAGGTAAATATTCACGAAGTAGACTCGATATTATACTATAAATCTATTAAAGTTAAAAATGTTTGAAATAACAAAATAGAACAGAATTCATATCATAAATTAACAATATTGCATGGAAAATCGTATGGCTCTTTACACGAGACATTGGTTGCTCCAAGTGTATAGTTTAACATTAATTAGAACAAAGATAATGAAATCATCACCACCCTATGCATATTCAAATATTCCAATCAGCATAAGCTCACTTAATAAATATTCATCAGTTAAGCTAGTGATCATACCTTCGGCTTTGATTTATCCGGCCCTCAGCTGACAGAACTCTGGTTGCCTGTTCTGCCCCTTCACCTTCTCCCCTCTCCTCATAGAAATTCTTGGTGCGTTCCTTTGGCCCACTGTGTACTCGTCTGGAACCGGCCGGTGATTTGGTGGGTGTTGTGGGGCTAGAATTCCGCCTTTCTAATGGTTGAGGAAGTATTGGGACTAGCAGGGGGAAAAATAAAATCATAGTTTATTATAAAATCGACCTGTTTTTGTATGGTTTCACCTTGTCACAGTAGTAAATGCAGCAGAAACTATGAGAATATTAAGATATAGTGGGTGACACTGTGTATTTGTGTTGTATCTTTACAAAATGAGGACCCAAACATGAAAATGTAATAAAAATCTTTATTTTGATCTTTGAATCAAGTTTCTAGGTTGAGTACATACAACTGGAGTAAATATTATTGAAAGGTTAACTTCTGAACATGTTTCTTGTTCATTTCTGAGCACCTGCCTTAAATTTGTTTCTCACTCTTAACATCTTTTAAGTCAAGTTAGAACATTTGTTGTTATATTTATCAGAAACATTGAAACACATTTTTTGTCAAAATATGGCATATATAGTGTTATATTGATAAAGGACCCTTTGTGTGTGTGTGTCTACTGGACTCAACCTAACCAACAAAATCATCATTTTATTTATCAGTAAAGAGTTAAAAATTGGAAATCGTTGGAGCTATTAACATACTCTTCAAGATAATACTAACCTTCACTGTTTAATAGCTTTAATCTCGACTTCGTTTTGGCTGAGAGCTGTCGTTCACCAGGTGGCTTGGGTAGCTTTGGCGGAGAAACTTCAAGTATTTCGGCTTGGCTTGGACTAATTTTCTGCAAAGAAATGGATTAGAATTTAAATGTATTAATTAATTAGTACAAAAGGCTGGTATATTCATAATTAGACAGTGATTCATTATTGAAAATTCTGTATATCTAAAATTTATGTTACTTATGTGATGCATTTTATGTGCAGTTTTTGTGGTTCCCCTTGTTTTTTTGTCCATTGTATGAATTTAGTATCCATTTTAGAAGCATGTTATGACTTTTCATGTGGAACTACTTTTGTAAATTGATGCAATTCAGTGATTCTATGCTGCTATGTCAATATGTTTTGCATTAACCAGAAATTAAAGAATGAATGCGTACATTTACAAGAAAAACATAAATTAAATATAGTTAGATATGAAAGCAAATCTAAACATAATTATATATCATACAGATCATTATAAAATGTCAAAAACCAAGAATCAAACCAGCTTACAGGAACATGATTTAGAGGCAGAAGCCTTGCACTTCCAGAGGGCGGCCTTCCACTCCCAGATGGTGGTCGACTACTTCCCGAGTTTGGACGTGAATCACTTCCAACAAAATGTGCTGAATCCAAGCTATTGCAGAAAAAAAAAAAATTGTAAACAATTATTTTTTAAAGATATAATTGTTTAAAATCATGAATTTTACAGACAAAAGTACAGTACAAAAAAAAACAAAAAAACAGACAAGTGTTGAATAGATATAAACAACAAAACATCCTTTGGTCCCAAACAATAGGGAAGAAACACTCCCAAACGCAAATCAGAAAGGGGTAGAAGATGTTACTGTACATCGCAAAGGGCAAATAAATCTTCAGATTGCTCGACCAGGGTGACAAACTCCAGGTTCTCACAATCAGGTCGACACATTCCTGGGTGCCACACAGGACTCCATGCCTTATGACCAGCAGCACTAATCAAATCAATTTACTGCTAAAAATGAAATTGTTATTTCAATCTAGACAGTGATATGGAGATAAAAGTACTTATATAAAACGCAGCTAGAAGTTGCTAGTTTCCTTTGAAGATAATTAATTTGAAGATAATTACATGAATATTTTTAATGATTACCATAACTAACCTAACGTACCTTTTGTTATTTTTTCGAATACTGTATACCTTTTTAATTTTTGTAATGCATTTTGTAGTAATGTTGTATATGGTTTGCCAACAACGAAGTAATTTCTTGTATTGTACTTTTACTTTCACAAGACCAATATAAGTTCTGTATTCTGTATATTGTATTTTAAATTGCATTTCTTTGTATTTCTCTGGTTAATGGTGTAGCACATATATGTGGGTTTTTGGTTATGTTAGTCAGACATTTGTATTTGTAGGTTCTACTGATTGTGTCTATTGCAAATTTGTGCACTAAAGTGCATGCATACTTTGAATACTACTAACTATTACTACAACTCATTATTTTCATACAGTTTACTGATATAAGATCTAGTCCAACACATTTCCTGGTGAAAATCTAAATGTTAATGGATGAAATAAAAACGGAAGACATGATGAAAAGTAATCATTTAGAATGTTTTTAATGAAAAGAAAAGTTTTCATAATTAATACGAAATCAATCAATGCAATAAAATGAATGAATTCCGGAAAAGGAAATCATTAAAAGACAAAAACTATCCTTTAAATAAAAGGAAAATGGAATAGAATAGGAAAACTGAGACAAAAATGCTATATTTGTTAATATCTTGTGTGATTGACTGTATTGCTTCATTATTATTCAAATTCTATAATAAGAGAGCTAATAATGTATAAGTAGCTCCGAGGAACATCAAAACAGGTCTATCATATTAATACAAGGACTGAGCAGACAAAACATTTAAAGTCAATACCGAATTAATTCAACAGCAGAAACAGCCACACGATAGCCTAATACTTATTACTAAGATAAATTAGTAACGATCAATATCAGCACTTTATTAGTAAAAGGAATTAGTAAAAGGAAATCATTAAAAGACAAAAACTATCTTTTAAATAAAAGGAAAATGGAATAGAAGGAAAACTGAAGACAAAAATGCTATATTTGTTAATATCTTGTGTGATATAAAATAAATGGTATTATGCTTCATTATTATTCAAATTCTATACTAAGAGAGCTAACAATGTATAGTATATAGCTCTGAGAAATATCAAAACAGGTCGTTCATATTAATACAAGGACTGAGCAGACAAAACATTTAAAGTCAATACTGAATTAATTCAACAGCAGAAACAGCCACACGATAGCCTAATACTTATTACTAAGATAAATTAGTAACGATCAATACCAGCACTTTATTAGTCATCTTTATACCCGCACCATTCTATACAGTGCATGTTCGTGACCTGTTTTTTTCTTTCTTTATTTTTTTTGGACAAACCACTATTTATTACAAAACTAATAACAGAGAGAGGTGGTAGAATATAATTAAATTCTAAAACATAGAAGATTTTCAAGTACAATATCTCAAACTAATATAATATTTAATTGAATAAACACCCCCTCCCCCAAATAAATGCCCCTCTAGAGCCTTCTTTGGAAGGAATAAATATCTCCCTCAAATAAATGCCCAGAGGCGTTAATAAACACACTCCCCTAAATGACTGTTCAAACAAGTCTTCCGGAAGCAACATCATTCTCAATGCAGTTAGATTGGACAACTTTCGGCCTCACAAAAATGAGAAATCAGTCACAATTTATTGTATTAATCAACCAACCAACCTCAATCAATCAATTAATCCACACAATCAATCGGTGATCAGGCAACAGTTTGTGTTTGCTGTGATCTTCACGCTAATTGTGGTTTCTGCCACACCTGTTCTTTTCTCACGCTACCAATTGTCTATTTTTCATTCAACACAATTGAAATGAAGTTTGTTAACAATGCTTCTCATTTGAATGTTAATCCTAAAAAGGCAAACACTAAACAAAGCACCACAACTTATTTAGGATGGCCTACAGTATACTGAGTGTAATTTAAATTATTTGCATAGAATGTGAAAACATTTTTATTGCCAATAATGTACAGTAGATGCCCAGGGAGGATGCAGGATTTGGAGGCAGGGGGTGCATCAGAGTTCACATCACCTCAGTTACACCATGGTTGGGGCTGATGAGCGAACATTTTGAGAATATGCACCTCTAGGTGCCCGGAAATTGCACTTTCATACCTTAAAAATCTTACTGGTAATTCATATCAACAATTAATTTTTCTTAATAAAATTTTAGGGGATGCAATCATGCACACCGTCCACAACCCCCTGCATCTGCCCCAGCATGCATACATTAGATTTTATATAGATCCTGGCTGATAAGGGTTCATCATTAAAGTAGTAAAAAAAACCTTTTTTATTCGACATATGAAAGTTGACCCCCATTTCATATAGTACTTTAAGCTGTGTCTAGACTACCAAATTGTATTTGACATGCCTGTACTCTATAGTCATGATATGCCTATATATGGTCATAATGTGATGTCATCATGACCATATTTAGGCATGTCACAAGTTTTTGTCAAATGAAATTTCATAGTCTGAACAGGACTTATACTGAGCAATTCATGATTTTTGAGAGCTTTTCGATTGTTGTCATTTATTATTTTTTTGATAATTACACATCTATCAAGCTTGTCAATTATTAAGAAATTTTCGAAGACATTAGCTATTGTAAAATACCATATCTCTGTAGTCACCGGCATCAATAAGTTTTAAATGAACCACTGATGCTTGCTAATGGATGTAAACACAATCCAGTAGAATGCAAACAAGACCCACACAATGGATTCATGTTTTTATAATAGAAGAAAAGTCAAAGGTATTCATTGTGTATACTCTATACCAGACACAACAGATTAATTTGCACCAAATTTAAATAGATCTAAACCAGTAAAAAATTATTTGACAACTAATGACAACACAACATTTGATATAATTAATGTCGAAATATTGAATCCCGACACGATGGCATGCATTTCGATACTTGGAGTATGTATTTCTAATCTGAGATTAATCAGTGGACCTTTCAGTTAATGACAACAACAACAGTAATAATTGCACAATTCCTGTGCCAGGGTTGTACAGTCGTTATGGTGGGCGGGGCCACTCAGCCTTTAAGTTTTCCACCCAGTCTAAGGCTAATTTCATGGCCCTCCACCCACCCTTATTAACCCAATTTTCTATCCTTAAAATTCACTCTTATTATTTAGAGTTTACCAATGTTATCACCCACCCACCTTTAAAATGTTTATCACCCACCCTTAGTTTTCTACAGCTACAACCCTACTACTGTATGCACTTTAATTACAAAAATTGTGTAACAGAGGAACCCATTAAACATTCAGGTATTTAAAAGAAACCCCACCCCCAACCCTAATTGACTACCAACCAATCGGATGGGAAACTGAAAAATCAGGCCATATTTACAGTATAATAGCATGTTCAAGCATGTTGTATGGCTGACATTTTTAGGGGTGACAGTCCATCCCTTGAGTAGGGGGTTACCTCTGTGTACTAGTCCATACAGCCCGTATTGTGGACAGACAAGAGTTGTTTACTGGGTACAGTAGATCAGACATGAAGAGACCCTTAGGAGAGAAGCTTGAGAGCTTTGAGACTTCAGTATAAAGCGCTATATAAATCTAACTACAGGACAGTGACATATACAGCACATGTACAGGTACATCCATCTAAGCCTGTATGGATGGGGCTGAGGTGAATTTTTTTTTTTTAAGTAAATGTGTAATCACATCACTAGATGGAATTAAATAGCACTATATCATATTAAAAAAATTTTTTTCTTTTCAATCTATCTAAATCTTAGCAAAGAAGATAAATAAAAAAAATTTTACATTACAGTACACTTATAAGTTCAATCTTATAAACATTAAACATTTTTTTATTGTGATACGAAATATATTTTTTAATTTAAAGGAGAGATAGTCTTTCAATATACAGTACTCATCTTTCTCAAGTCAAAACAGTTGCCTAGGAAACAAATGGATAATTCTAATTGCATAGCAAACACATAGTTATATTATCAAATTAAATGACTCGGAAAGATTAATTCTGTTTTGTGTGAATAACATTATGCAAGGTAGGGAGATAGTGCAGAAAACACAATATGATACCCAATCAATTTTTACAGTATTTTGCTTTTAATTATTTAGAAATACACTTTTATGCACTTTGAAAATGATAGTGACCCTTCATGATTTTTGGCCGTTCAACATTTTTGGGAAGGGTACCAAAGTTTCCAGACTGATTTAAGGTATCTTACAGTAAGTTGTCTATTAAATACTCCATTCTCCTCACCTTGAGAATGATAAAAAAAAATTAAATAATTTTATAATCACTAAGCAGTTAAGCATAGGCCTACTGTACCTCATTATTTGAGAATGACACCACAATAGAGTAGATAGTCATTCCTTTTTAATAATTTTTAATTTTATACTGTAAGGCACAGGTGAGCGAAATGCTTTTTTGCAAAAATGAATTTTAAAAACAAAAATTCTGGATCCACCCCTGATCAAGCTGCACAATAATTGCTCACAAGACTATTCAGCAAAGACACTGAAAACATTAAATACAAAGACGTCCTTTAGAAAAATGATGACATGCTAACCATAACATCCACAACGATTGCCTCCCCAACTTCCCATAACATTCAACAATATACATCACCGCCTTTCCCCATTCATTCAACACCGGGCGGAGCACGGGTATACAGTATGCTAGCATAGTTTGTACTAAGAATAGTATAATATTTTAGTACAGTATAATAATATATAATAGTATAATATGCTAGTGTAATATGTACTGTGAATAGCCACAAAGTTTTATAGCCTATTAACAATAATAACAACACAGAAAAATGTCATCTATAATTTTTAGATATACACAGAGAACTGCCCTCTGATTTTTTTGTTTGAATAAAATATACCTTGAATAATATCATATTACAGTATATGAAGGCAAATATATGTTTTAAGCAATCTGAGTGTTTGAATACAACAGTATTTAAGTTTGTTCAATTGATTTATGAATTCAATTTTTAAGTTTTAATGTTTTTAATGTTTATTTACTACTGTATATTCATAGCATTTTAAATTACATTTACAGTATTTTTTCTTTATCTTGTTGAATTTCATTTTTTTTAATTTTTCAATATTTTTCATATTTGTAAATTTTCCAATGTAAATTGTAACCAAGTTAATGCTTCTTCGTCAAATGTATAGAATAGAGCTGCTTAGTGGTTAAGATGACAATATTCAATTCAGGGTCCTGGATTCACATCCTGTATGGATCCTTTTTTCACGACTAAAAAAACTATCCTCCTATATTCAGACAAAGCACAATAATGGAAGAGGACAGCGACAAAAACAGCCTGTCGTGCTGGGCGGCCGGTTTACACAGCACGAGACTACAATAGTTACAAAACCCAATTTTCAGGGTTCGTCTTGCAGTCTACATCCTAAGAGACTGGAGTCACTGATGGGCCAAAATATATTTTTTCCCAGCAACAAATTTTTAACACAAAAAAAATTCTATTCTAAGCGACACATCGCTCTGTCATGTAGACAGGTTGCATTTAAAGTTCACAAAATCAGTAGGAATTATATTAAGACAGATTAAACATTTAATTATTTAATTCAAATACATCCAAAACTAACAGCTGAAAATAAAGAATTTAATAATAACGAAAATTTTTCTGAAAAAAAAAAATAAAACATTCTACTGCATGACTAGTCTTACCTAAATGCTGAGGGAGGACGTTCAGTAGTTTTACCAGATGCTGAGCCTCCCCTTGGGAATAAACGTCGCTCATTAGTCTGCGGTGTGAAAGGCCGTTCTGTGACAACCGACCTCAAAGATACTCTGGCTTGATTGATGATATCTGAACTTGTCTCTTTATCCGTCTGTTTCTCATAGAATGGGCGTTCCACTGGCTTTTTCTTGGGTCGCCCGCCCTTTGATGTAGAAATCATCTTCGGTCAGCTGATTTTGCAAGGTTCTAGGTCATCTTACATCTGCTGCTACTGTACTGCCACAACAATTCTGCAATCATCATTAAAAGCAATGAATTTAATATCGTATTAAGGGTTTATTCCTTTACATTAACAAACAACAATTTTCCATGTTGATTTTCGACAAGGTTCACAAGCATTTGCCCTTTTAAGAATACAGAATACAATTACTGTAGACTTACCACTAGGAAACCATAATGTAGGCCTATATATTATTTAAATAGGGGTGTATTGTCACTATTAAAGTGTATCTACCACTTCTGTGCTTAATCAGATGTTGAGTTTTTCTTACTGTAATTTATCCAACAAATCAATATAAAAATTAGTTTTAATTATTGTTTATTAAGTATTAGGCCTATGTTGCTGCCAGGTGTCACGCACTTGATAAAATAAAATTGTAAATAAAATAGCAAAAATTTTAAATAGACAAATCACCCCCTTTCAATTCTTATGGCAACTAGCCTAGCCAGTTACTGCACAGTGTAGGTCTAAGATTAAGCCAAAATTCAGTTACTGAGAGCCTCAGTGAGAGAGGCCTAAACCGTAGATTAAGCTAGGCATAGCCGCATAGGCCTGGGGCTTGAGCGAACTAGCTAGGCCTGCTCTACTTCTAAGGAAGAGGCCCACACACCACCAAGGTTAAAAAGCTGCAACAGTGTGGGCCTCTCCACTCTACTTTATTACTACATACTAGCCTAGGTCTAGTACTAGCTAGCACCTAACCGGCTAGCAGCTAGCTCAGCTCCCTAGAAAACATAATATTTATGTATTCAAACATTGTTAGCATATATCTCAAAAATAAATATAAAGAGCCTAACTGTTAAGTAACTTGTAAGTAAAAGTGAACAGTTTATAAAATGTACTTATTAGCAGAAATTTTATCGATATACCTTGTTAAAAATCATAAACCACTTGTCAATAAGTTTTGTATACACTATCTCCAAGAAAATTTCAGACGCCCTCCATAGCATAATTAGTGATTGAGGGCGCTAAGTATATTGTAGCCGTCTACAATTTTTTTTTTTTTTTTTTTGTGTTAAACTCCCGCTCCCGACTTTAACCCCTCGTGCCATCTGACCATTGTGGAATGCAGCAGAATCCCTCCTATGGGAAAACCCTATTCAGTGGACACCTCTATTAAGGGGACACTTTCCCGTGAAACGTAGGGCAATATTGTCTCAAATTCTCCGAATGTCCATGTTCATATTCCATGTCTAATTTCCTCTAAACTGTTTAACCGTCTGAAATGACAAACTAATGTTTTCATCTTTGACAAATAATTAATTAAGTTAGTTAACAATTACATAACTTGGCAACTACTGTACTTATATTAGATGTAGGTATTAATGATTGGTGCCAAACTATACAAAATATCCATGTTTATATCCATTCTAATGAAAAATGGTAAGGAAAAAAAAGAATTTAAGAAATAATGATGAATTTTTTGTTCTTTTTAGTAGTCAATATTTAAAAAACGGGTTTAGGCCTAATATTAGTAGATTGAGTTCCTCATATAATAATTTAGTTAGGGCCATCTGTCGTTTTTTAGGCGTGTTAGTTAAAATTCATGCTTGTGTGTTTTGTTCGGTCGTTTGTTAACCATGCTGTAAATGGCGGATTTGGGTCTGCGACGTTTTGGTGAAAATAAAATTTAAAAAAAAAACTAATGTAAATATGCATTTTAAAATTTTATCCATAATTATTTGAATAATCAAACAATCATCTGCCTCTGTAACTATAGGCATATATGCCGTGCAAATTCCAATTTAGATTTTATAGGAGGGCAAGGTTAATGTCAAAATCACAGAATTTGTGTTGATACCCATTATAATACAATTTATTAGCCACAATTCTAATTGCTACTCATTTGGCAATTAAACTATAAGAAATAAGTGTGTGTCTTTAACGTTTTAGTCACTTTGTATAATTTGCTTTTCAAGAAAACCCATATTAAGCTAACTTGGGAACAATTGGATTATCGGTTAGTGTCCCCCTTAATAGGGGCACCCCTATTCAGGGGACACCACTTATAATTGTTGTTATTGTGTAATATCTATAAATTAGAGAAGAGGAAGCTGAATTTTTAATTATACACAACTGTGTAATAACTAAGGCCTATATACAATTTTTAGTGACACAAAGACACGTAAAAAAAAGACGTTTTTAGATGTAGCAACATCAAAACTAGTTAGGTCTATTTAATGTTTTGAATAGTACTGTAGTGTTTCAGTTTTGTTTAAAATGTTATGTTCAATCACTGTTAGACAAGGTTTTAACATTTGTTTCTCCTCAAGACACGACCTGTGGCTACACACAACTTGCAGTGTTTGGGATGATTAATGATTTACAGTAATACTAGGTGCGCCATTATGTTTTCAGTAAGACATATCTGTATGTATATAGAAGTTAATAACATGTACATATAAGTATACCGGTATTGAAATGTTATCATTAGGTCAATAAAGATCAATTAGTGACGTATTAAATAAAATTTAAATTTTATCCATGAGTTGTTATCTATATAGGCATAGTTTCAATTTTGTTTAAAATGTTATGTTCAATCACTGTTAGACAAGGTTTTAACATTTGTTTCTGCTCAAGACACGACCTGCGGCTACACACAACTTGCAGTGTTTGGGATGATTAATGATTTACAGTAATAGAAGCGCCATTACGTTTTCAGTAAGACATATCTGTATATAGAAGAATAACATGTACATATAAGTATACCGGTATTGAAATGTTATCATTAGGTCAATAAAGGTCAATTAGTGACGTATTAAATAAAATTTAATATTTATCCATGAGTTGTTATCTATATAGGCCTAGTTTCAAAGTTATCTTTAAGATTTTAAACAATAAGTCTATAAAAGATTTTTTTTTACCGTAATCTAGAAGATTTATGTGTAATAAATAATTAAATTATCAGAGGCGGCCTACATAACATGGATATGCATTGAAATTTTAAAATTTAGTGGCAAAGCGTGGTGGGGCAGGGGGTGTCACCCCGGTGCCCCTAGGTTGGATTCGCGCCTGATTATTGGCTGCGTAGTACAGTCGATTTATAAACGGAAGAAATATTAATAAACAAATTGTTGTGAGCGAAATGTTGACACATCGACGAGCACACTAACCCTTCTGAATAACACAAATTCGGCCAAGAGCAGTAGTTTGTCCATGATCTGAGTTTGTTGAGCAACATTTGTTTTAAAAGCAAACAATCCCATCGTCTGCCATGTTTTTTTTTTTATATAGTTTAATTTTGTATTCACTCATTTGTTTTAATTCTAGATTGGAAATGCCAGGAATTGTTCATAAACTTTTTCTCAAGGTGAATATAAACGACCGTGAAAAAACGGCGAAATTTATAATAGGCAGATAGGCCCTATTAACTATTTAATAACTATAGGCCGACAAACTTTACTGCCTATCTAGACGACATCGTTACCCAAAAAAGAATCCTCCATGGTATTTGAAATTTGCCTCAAGTTTGACGAAAACTGTGGAGTAGTATGGTACAGTAAATCTATAAAACTGTAACTTATTCTAGAGACAATTCATTTTTTATTCCAATAATACGCAAGCATAGCAATATAATATCTGCCCAGCCCGCAAAGATGAAAGAGTGAGCTTGTTCGAAAAATATTTTATAACAGTTCCAAAAAAAAACACACAAAAAAAAACCAAACTTGAATACTTCAGAAAGAATTTGCCATGCTCTGTCGACCGTAAGTGAAAACATGGAGGTATACATTTAGTTTAATATTAAGTAAATTTAATTACCTCCATGGTGGAACTAAGTTGGTGATTCGATTCCATTCACATAATTATTTTAATTTTTAACAATCGTATTGTGGAAAGTTGAATACCCTTTCCCAATCCATATCAAAATCACTACTGCATTTTCAAAGTACGGTATTTGTATCTAGACAATAATTTAGATAAATTATGTGATAAACAACTGATTTGCTTGCTGAAACCACTTCATAGCTCGGAGCTTTCTGAAACTCTTTGAATGGCAGCATCACAATCTTTTTACTTTGATTTTTGCTGAAATAACTTTGAACTGGATGAGGTTCGACTATCAATACAAAATACCAGTTCCGATTTTGGATCTGGAAATAGACGATTTCAGTCCAGCGTCGAATTCACAACCTATGTAAAACTTAATTACCTGTATAGTAAAGATCAAGACCAACCAACAATAACCTTTGGTGATAATGTACTTCTTTAATTGAATATTTCGGCAAAACATCCATCAGTGGTACGTGATTTACAATATTGAAATGAGTAATATATAAGAACAATACTATATAGCAAGAAAAAAAAATGTATACATCATATTTTCATCTTGTTATCTGCATAACTACTTTATTGGCTTTCAAATCTGTTGAATTAAAATTTACCTTAAATGCATTCAAATTGTTTCAACACTGTTGCTAATGTATGATTTCACAAATAAGCAAATTCGTAGTTTGAACTGCGCATGCCCGTACCCAAAATCAATCGACATAAACCTTGAACTTAGTGTATCATGTACAGTATTGTCTTGTGCATTTTTATGTAACTTGTTTTTCTGTAATGTTGTTTTATCAAGAGATGTTTGATTTATCAATAAAGTATCATGTATGTTTGTTTATATCGGTTGACAATGATATGGGCATGCGCAGTTCAAACTACGAATTGACTTTAATATTGAAAACAGATTACTATTATTAGAAGTTTTACTGTGTACTAATGCAAAAAATGGGATCAACTACAACTGTTCCATCAAATATGTCAATGAAAATGCACAGTGCGTTTTGTTGTCAATTATATTTGCGAGTGAATTAGTATAGAAAAATGTGGAAACATAATGGACCTTTCCGCTAAGCCCCGCCCCTTGGATATTGTTACTAAGGTCCAACAAAACGACAGTGTTAAAACATACGCAAACACGTGCATTTGTGGGACAACATGTCTGCTTGTTTGACATGCACATATTTCAGGCCTTGTTCTGATTGGTCAATTGTTAAGTTTGATTGACATTCCAGAAAGGTCCAACAAAACGACAGTGTTAAAACATACGCAAACACGTGCATTTTTGGGACAACATGTGTTCTTGTTTGACATGCACATATTTCAGGCCTTGTTCTGATTGGTCAATTGTTAAGTTTGATTGACATTCCAGAAAGGTCCACAAAATTCTAGACTTTCAGCAATAAAGAAAGATAAAGAGAAACATTTTCTGAAGTATATCACAAATTCTTTTTGGAAGATAAACAATTTTTAAAATTTACAAACAAATGTTAAGGATAAAAGCATGCAAGCAATTTTAGAAGATTAAATGTTGAATATTGGGGAGTTATATACAGTTGGATCAAAAACTTTCAGAAACATGGTTTTACAGTACAGACATTTACAAAACTCAGACTTTCATTTCAAGACCGAAACTTCTAAAAAACTCTTTTGATAAAACATGATTTCACTAGATCATCTCCTCTTCTGAATTATAACTAATAAAGCATTTTTTTTGTTTCAGGTCCTGTTTCTTACTCTGTATACTGTCTTACCAAACAGTAGCAACACTTTAGACCGTAAAGTGCAACAAAGTTCATGGTCAGAAACTTACGTAAATGCCATTGACATACGTTTGCTGAATTTGCAAGTTTCACTCTCCAACAAGTCTTCTTTAGCTAGATATTTCATTATTCTTTTGATAAATATAATTAAAATATACTCCAATCAAAGCATTTTATACTTCACAATATCAAGACAATTTTGATTAGGTTAATGTATGAACAGAAAAAATAAACATACAATAAATGAAAAAAATAAATAAATAAAAATAAAAAACGCAGAATTTTGAATTTCCTGTTTCAAATGTTCCGGTTTCAAAAAGTGCATTTACACGATTTTGAAATGTTGGGGTATGCAAAGATTTAAAATGTCAAGAATGGTTTGCAAAATGGTGGGAAACTCTTAATGTTTTTCTGAGTATTTGCTGATCTACACAACAAACTGTATTGCATAATAATAATTAACAATAAACATGACAACTCAAAGGTAAATCATTTGGTAGCTCCAACACAATAGATAGTATATAATACATATATAAAGCTTTAACGGATCCTGTTAAATTTTTCTAATAAAATGCCCATGCTAACAAAACAGCTTAAACTAATGACATTGTACAATGTATACTTATCTCTATCTGCATAAATTCCTGTAACGTACATGTATACATACAACCCTTCTGTATTAATTTCCATCTGCATAAAAGCTTGGACAACTATTAATATATCCAATCAAAATATTATGTTCTGTACTTCCCCTAAAAGTTGTCTAATACTTAAAACTTCTAAAATATGTGTAGCTGTATATGTTGGTGTAAATATAGCAGTAGCTTAAAATTAAGCAGGCACCTTCTGGCTAAACCTCTGCCTGTATTTCTTGCTGAGTGTTTTAAATTTTCCGGACAGTTTGCCTGCATTCTCCAATTGGTCAATTACATTTGGAGGAAGAATCTTCATGTCGGTTACAAATTTTCCATCAAAGTTTCGAACTTTGTTCACAGTATCTTCCATACCTGCCACATCTGAGGAAAACAAAATGCATATTTTAAAAGTATGATTAATCAACAGTAGAAAAAAACAAGGACTCAACCAATGGTCTTTTAGTATACTACACTTGTACTCTATGCTGTGGTAGAGGAATCTTTCTGTAAAATGGAATGTGTTAGTTGATAGGCTTGCTAAGGTACAATGTGTTGACCAATAGCACACCTTGTTAGATATTGGACTATTTTTAGGGTAATTTTGACCTAGTTTCTTCAGTATACTCAGGCTTCTATCAAGAGCCTATTTTTTGTTTTGAAGGTGATTGCCTTAAAACCCAAGGGTCCTGTGTTTGTCTGATGGTGCACCAAATAATTTATTCTCAGAGCTAAAAACACAACTCCACTTCCTGAATTTCATATAATACTATGCTTTACATGTTGGCTGATAGCAACAAGTATACTTGTCCCACAGGGTGTTGTTGAGGGTGTCAGGGACGAGTATACTCGTCAAAATCGGGGAAACATTATACCATTTATTACTTCTTCGTTATACATTTTAGAACCACAGAATCAACGGCTGGTAGTTCGGCGAATATGCACCTGGACGATAATGTACAAATGTTGTATGTACATTTGTTGTGTTATGTTGCCGGTAGTACACACGAGAGTGACAAGTGGGGGTGCCCTTTGAACATATACCAACCCATGCAAAAAGCAGGCAAGATAACTCGCACTTGGCAGAGGCAATAAAAAGTGCTGTCACGATGAGTTCACTCGTCCCCTAATATTTTTCCACCAATTTATTAGACACATCATTTTGATGATACAGTATATGACTAGATAAAAAGTTTTTAAAAAGTATGTTTGTATGTATACAGTACTTGTTTTGGCACGCAAGTAGGAACCTTAAAAAAAGGTCTGGCACTCAATGTGTGAAAAATATCATTCCAATATAAGTCATATGCTTATTGTTGATGTGAACTAGATAAAAAATAATATATTTGAAAAAAAAAACAACATTTTGTTATTATTATCAGTTCTCAATATTTCAGTACTATTTTTGGTAATAAATTTGCAGATACGGTCAAAGGATATAAACATAGTGTTCTTGTAATGTTACGCACTGTACTACAGTAAGTTTAACATGTACTGTTCTATTCTATATCTACCAAATCCTGTGCTTATTGTTGGATGTGAGCTAAATTTAAAACTAATACAGTAATAATAAACATTAAAAAAATTTGTTATTATTATTATCAGTTGTCAATATTTCAGCATTATTTTCAGTGGCAGGTCCAGGAATTTGAAGTAGTGCTCAGAGTGTGACTTCCACAGATGAAGGGTCCACACCGCCATGACCCACCATGTTTGAGGCTAAATTAAAGAAAATGGATGATTATGGAACCTCTAGATGGCAAAATTAGCACTCTCTGGACTTTTTCTTTTTATATCCATTAAAAAAAAAACCATTTTGATGAATCGAGGGGAGTGGGTAGAATCTGTCACTGATTTTTGGTACAAGAACCTTGCAGATTCGGTCAAAGGCAATAAACAGCTTTCTAGTATTAATGTTATGCATTGTGGAAATAGGGGACAAACTTGTCAATTTGCTGAACTTCCTGTATTCTATACGTCTGACAGTTATAAGAAACTTCCTAAGGTAATTCCAAAATGAAATATTAGCCAATAAAATAAAACTTGAATAGAGTCTATTAAAGTTGCTTTAAAAATAGAAAACAAGGATAAAATAATGATATGGATTTATCAAGTCTATTCATGATATTATGCATTCTGGATGCCAAAATAACAAAAATGAATTGATTAGTTTAAAAATGCAGTGATATTCAACATTTAATCACAATTATTGCAGAAGTTGTTTTGCTGCTTTTTTTTTAGACTTTATATAGTAGTTACATTAATAGAATGGCTAAAAGAAATTAAAATAATGGAGACATAGCTGTAAAACTGAAACGCTACATAGTATTTATCACCTTTGCCATCATCCTTAATTTAATATAAATAATGTTTAAAGGATCTCTGGAATTTTATTTTGATACATAATATATAATGTATTGTACAGTACATGAACATTGATAGGAAAGAACTTAGTTACTTAACAACGTAGTCAACAATAAAACATACATGTATACAGTAACCTAAGGATTATGCTAATAAGAAATCAATTTCAAATAGAAAATGAGTATTGTTGCTCAAAAAAATGCAATTGTGCGGCCACAATACATTGTTTAGTTCTTTATTAGAATGGGCAGTCTGTTAAAAATTCTATAATTGATCTAATAAAGAACGAATTGTAGATGCCATCAAAAATTATAGTTTTTACAGCATCTACTGAAAACATGACATGTAATGCTGATTTTTTATAATATCAAATCAAATATAAAATCAAACAGTCAATCGTGACATCATCCCTGCAACTCCCAATGTTATTTGCCTATCCTCACAGTCCAACAATATTTCAATTAATGGATGCTTGACTTTCTATTTTTTTAGGTTTGCGTGGTATTTAAAAAATTCCAAATTTTTTCGTCACCGTGAAGGTATTGCGCACCGCGATGAAAATTGAATTGTGATTGAAAATTTCTTTCGTAAAACAAACTGAAAATTTAATAGGAATATTCTGGACCTATTTTAAAGACTCAAGGAATGAAATAGGTGTTGGTCTACGGCCAGGCAGGAAGCCATTGTGGCTTCCTCCTACTGTACTACAGTACTGTAGGCCCTAGCCTAGTATAGTTATGAAATCTTTGCACAATTTTTACCTGTCTGCACCGACCAAAGAGCCAGTGACTGTATTCTCTCTCGAATGCTTTAAAGAAATGTTTATATCTTTGACGAATGTCTATCAAAATTGCATTACAAACAAGTTGTTCTAACACAATACAAATTACAATAGTTATTCATTGTATCCGTACTGTACTGCTGATGTGTAGTTAACACGTACTGCAGGATCACAAATCAGCATACGCACAGCTAAATGTAAATACGCACACAGACTGATCATATCACTATGGCAACCGATGACTGCTACAACTAACATTAAAAGACGGTGATTTACTTATGAAGCAATTAGTAGAGCATGAATCGTACACTAGCGGAAAATTATTATACTTTAGTTAGATTTAATGCATTCAAAAATTTCCTTCGGGCCTACAAGGCCGAAGAAAATTTTTTCAAGTAATAAATCTAACCTTTGTATAATAATTTTCCTATAGTGTAGTATGCGGAGCTCTACAAATTGCTTATTACAGTACAGCACTGTAATATTTCTTCTATTACTTAAAAAAAGTAGCCTACTGTACCTATTCAGTAGGCCTCTGGTACCTATATATTGTTAACATTCCTAATGAACAATTTTTTTTAATGACTATTTTATAGCCATTATTTTACTGTTCAACCAGTATTAACTAAAAATTGTTTTTTCCAACGAGTGACTGGTTTGGCTTGTCTCTGCCGCATATGGTGACAGTGGTTTAGGCTGTTTTTGAGTCATTATTAACATTTAATAACTAAATTAATAGCTTTACATGAAAATAAATTTGTGGTTATCATTTTAAAACTCAATTATCATTTTGTTTTCATCATTTTTTAATTGACTTTGGTCTTTTTGGAACATTTATCAACACATATTAAATACAGTACTTTTGTTAAATAAAACAATTTAAACATTTTTTTCAAGAAACTATAACACAGTTATACAGTATAATGATGCTTATCTTATATTTTTATTATTTTTTAACTCAAACTTATTATGTTTAGTGAAGAAGGAAATGTATCAAACTGTTCCTGATTCAGGAAAGTTGGCAAAATGCCAAGCAGGAAAGGAAATGACAACTCCCAAATGAAAGAATTCTGTGAAATGAATTCAGTAACTGCAGCGGTATATCCTGGGTGTCATCCATGAAAATTTTGATGATAAAAAATGATAATGACTTCATGATGACGATGTATTATGATGACCGATGAATATGATGATGAACAAGATGGGAAGGACTGTGGACATAGACGATGATGTGACGACGATGACACATCATAAATAATGATAATGTACTCATCATCATTAGGCCTAAAAAATAAATTGTTTGTTTGCCCTTCTTTTTTTTAAATGATAAAAAGGGGCTGGTAGAAATTATTTTTTTTTTTTCAAGATTACTCATCAGATGGAAGAAAAATAACCCATAGTTGACATTTTACATTGAATGTAGGCATAGAATGGCAATATCTTACATCAGACAACAACTTTCGACAACTTTGTAGGGCATCTGGCAAAAAGTAAAGATCAATTCACTCACATTTTTGTTTTTAATTTGTAAAGTAAAAAGATTTTTAAAAAACCCCACTTTTTGAAAAAGTTTTTTTTGTTTTGACACCCCTCTTTCCTTCAGTGAGTTAGGAGCCGGTGAGGAGGGCACACAAACAATTTTTTAGGCCTTATAATTATCACCTTTAATAGTATTAAACTCAGTGCACACTATTTAATTTCATGTGATAAACTTGTGTGATGTGACAATAATACAGGCATGAAGATGTCATATTATTACAAAATATAGGCATATCACATTTTTTTGTCACATAGTGTGGACTGTCCAGATTATCAAATTTTCTTTGAAAAAAACTGTTGTATGTCCATATATAGTCATGATGTGCCTATATATGGTCATGATGCAATGTCATCATGACCATATTTAGACATGCCACATGTTTTTGTCAAATTAAATTTGACAGCAATCATCTGAACAGGGCTTCATACTATTTACCTCTCTGTCCACACTCGTCAAGATATATTTGTGTGATATGCCCATATATGGGTATTATGATGTCATATTACACCCTAATATGAGCATACATGTTTTTGTCACATACATTTTGATGTGGATCATTCTGACTGTAAAGTCAATCAATGTCTCATTGACAAAAAACTGTTGTATTCAAATTTTATGAATGTTTTTAGCAAGTAAAATTTCATTTGATTATTTTTTTATTTGATTTGATTTGATCTGTATTTGTTAGCTTAATGTGAATGAAATATTATAGTTTGGTAAAATATTGAAATTAATATTAATTACCTCTTCGTACACGTTCATCAAGATAGCTGCTCTCACCATACTCCAAGAAGGCATTAACAAACATATTCCACAGCTCCAAGAACGTAACAGATGGCAGTTTCTGTATCCAATATGTGGGTACCTCATTGCAGAGAGCTGCGATATTTGGTCCTAGGCTATCAAGATTGGTGATAGCAGGCTCAACAGCAGTATACGTTTCATATAGTATTTCATAGTGATGGTTGAAGAATTCAGGATCCTATAAGAAAATAACCCCCAAAATAATCTTTTTGTTCCATTCAGCAACATATTTGTTATCATAAAACTTGTCTTTCGGACCCACCACTTGCCAATTAACAAAGATGTAAATGAAAATTCTTACTTTTAGCCTAACAACTTAATTTTTTAACCAATGCATTGGAATCACTTACCTGAAAATTTTTCCAGAATTCTGCGGGGTTGGCAATGATTTCTGGGTCAATGTATTTCACGTAACACATTCTGCTATTCAGCAAGTGGTAGGCTGAGAGGTTCTGAAGGAGAAGATAACATAAATTAAATAATACATTAATATTATTAAAAAGTACAAAAAAACATATTTATTTTATTTTATTCCATTTGGTGTGAAAATACAAAAGAGTAAAACAAAATACAAACAAAAGTTTCAAGGAAAAAAAACATGGCAAAAATTAAAGGAAACTCAAATCAGTGCTAAGGAATAGGGAAAGCGGTATTTTTGCAATTTTCTTTTCTATCTTTTTAATATTCAAAAACTGTCTAGATGTACAGTATATTTAATGTATACTGTATTTCCTGATTATCCATGAACATTACAATATTACACTGAAGTGTATTACGGTATACATGTCAGTTTTTTTTTTCTTTAAGGTGAAGAAAAGGCAATATGGGTTGCTGCTTAAATTGAACTAAGGTAGCAATCACCCTGATATTGTTCTAAAAGCATGATTTACATGGCTGTTTAACAATTTTTCTGCCACTTCAAAATCCTGATGTATGGTATATCATTCAACGAACACTCACTTTTTTTTGTTCATAAACATTGTATCGATTGTTGGTCGAAAATGGTCATTTATATTGGATAAATCCACCCACTCCATATGCAAATAAAAATAATTACTAAATATAAATAATACTACAGGGTACATTGAGAATACCTTGAACTTAGCCAAGTCTCGGGTTTAAATCAATACTGAAGGCCTGGGTGTCAATTTACCGATGTTATCTTCCTGACTTTTAATGAAAATATAATTGATAATTTTAACCTGTGAACATTAGTCATAAAATTTGCTTCCATCTGGAGCGTTGTCTTCATTCGAAACATGTGATCTAAAAATAGCCTCTGATAATCTAATGACGGATAATTCTAACTGTTCGAAATTCTGTGATTGGAACAATTTGTAAATTAGATTTCCATCCTTGACTCGCCCGCAAATCTCGCATTAAAATCATAACAGAGGCTTTAATATTCAAACTTAGCAAATGCTCCCAGACGGCAACCAATCAAAACAACTGACTTCCTATTGACCTGAGACTATTATTGAACTTTGGAATGATATACAGTTAATATATTTATGAAAGTTGTTTTATTTTATAAATTAATTTTTTATTCCAACGTAACAGCCATAGAAACCCAATTAAAATAAAGATGAGTGTCGCGTCACATTGACAGCTACTGTAAAAATGCATCATTGTAAATGCTCAGTTTTACAGTATTTATATCCAACATCTGTCATTTTTCGACTCAAATGAATAGTTAGTTTTAAGTTTTATATAAATTTGCAGTTCACTGTGATTTACTACAATATTATTATTTTATGTTTACATTTCGTTTAATTTTGTAGTATGGAATCTTGGTTCATCTTTGGTCCACCTCTCTTGCATTTATCATGTATTTTCGCACACATGCAATTTTGCAAGAGTTTGAGATAACGCAAGTCATGAATAGTAATGGATGCTTGAGGCCTTATGGGTTTATATGAGGAAGATATTAAATTATCAAAACTAAAGCTATATCTTCATACAATACTGGATTCAATTTTTGTATTGATATTGATTTTTTTTTTCAATCTAACTCTTAAGAACTGCATACAGACGGATTAACTACAGTATGTAGTGCATTGTTGTATGCTGTGATTAAATCCAAACATTACAGTGTATTAAGTAAAACAGTACTGTGCATAAAATTAGTGAGTTTTTGTCTGTCTAGGCCTACAATCATATAGAGTTGTTGCAACTTCATGGTAAACAATCCAATTCCAATACACCTTTTAATATTAAGATCTACAAACTTAATGTACTACCTGTAAAGAACATTCTGTATGGTTGAGTGAAAAAAAAAATAAATAAAAAAAATAATTATTTATTTCAACTTGGAAACTTGCATACAACATGCAATGTATACAAATTGATTCATAATTTGATATTAAAAGTAATGACTGATTTTGAGATACTGTATGCAGCCTTCTGTCAACATGATTGTATGCTACCATGCCGACCAAAATTTGTACAGGAAAATTTCAGATTTCTTTTGCTCTTCCTTTGCGTGTTTATATCCAGGGTCTATGATTTAGTACGTATGAGTAACTCCTAAAAGTTTCATGCATAAATTATGACCTTATGATGCCCTACAATAGATAGCGGAACACCTTAAATCAAGATTAAAACCAGTTCACGACCAACAGTAAACAATAACATTGCTGTACTTATACTGAAGAGATCCGGAAGACGGAAGAAATATAATTATAGTAAGTACAATTAACATCATACATTATATTATTCTATTAAGAGCCGAAATGGCTTTACACGTACAGTACAGTAAATGTCTTCATCCATCGTATACTGTAAGGCCCTCACAGCAGTATCGGGTAGATGCAACAGATGCAACATATATTGAACAAGAAGGAATTGGAATAAATTAACACTGATTAGAATTTTAATTTATGTTGAAACAATATCAGTGGAAGTGTACCTAATGTATGAAAATGAAAGTTAAAATAAATCTGTGATGCTATCATTAGTGATTCCTGCAAAATAATAGATTTTAAAATTACAAGCGTTTCCTGATCAATATACTCTTCTATTTTTTTTCATGATTTCCAGTTTTTATCATCAATTTCACAAACATAATGAGTGATTGGAATGCAACACCGACCAAATTGATAAATAATTTAGGTTGAATCACATTATATAATCACATCTTCTTCTCTTCCTTGTGTAGCACTAGTTCCAAATACAATTACTTTCCAGCTTTGCTACATCATTCTGTACCACTCGGGTATATTTTTCAAAGGTCTTTCAAAACTTTAATAGGATTAATTATATTAACATAATATAAGAAGAATAGAATGGTTTCACTCTAGATACTGATTATGACGATGATGATGATGATGATGATGACAGAATGGTTGATAATAATGATGATACATACAGTAGATGATTGATACAGTAGTCATGATAAAGCCAAAAAAAAAATTGTTTGATTGCCCTCCTCCACCCACCAGTAACTCACTGAAAAAAGGGGGCTGAAAAACAAAAAAAACCTAAAGTTTCTTTTTTTAGCATTTTTCTTTACAAATTTTTAAAAAATGTTGAGTGAATTTATCTTTATTTTTTGCCAGATGACCTACAAATAAGTCTAAAGTTGTCGTCTGATGAAAGATATTGCCATTTTAGGTCTCTGTGGGGTTTTTTTTTTCTATCTGATGAGTATTTAAAAAAAAAAGAAAAAACTTTTTCCACCCACCAAAATTTATCATTAAAAAAAAAAGAAGGGCAAACAAACAATTTATTTTTTTTTGGCCAAATGATGATGCCGATAATGATGAATAATGAAAATGATGACGATGAATAATATTTTTATATCGATGGCGTTTAATATTAAAGATATGGTTGTGGTGATGATGGTGGTGAAGATGGTGATGGTATGATGATGTTAACAACACAATAGCAATAATTTCAGAGAACATACTGTAGCAACGATGTTGATGATGATGATGGTGATGATGATGATGATGATGGTAAGTCTGTGGACTGTTTTTCTCATTTAATTTTGATAAAGGAATTTTTCAGTAAGAATAATACACTTTAATTTATATTTTTATTACATACAGTAGAGTAGTGTATTTTCATATCTACAGTGTAGAATAATTTTCTTATATAAAAATTCATGACATAACTGCAGAATCATATGTTCTATGTGCCTACTATTTTTCAAAAAGTCATTTCAATTAACTAAATGTACTTTTATATTTATTGATATTTTTGGTTTATTTTTTTTTTAATCACAACACTCTTCTGTTCAAAATTGGAAATTTAAAACAATGTAAATTGAAAATGTCAGCCGAATTTATTTCATTACCAAATTGTTGTCATGACCAACAAATGTTTGATAGAATCAGAAATAATAATTTCTTGATGCAGAGGTAAAACTTACAACTTTGTAGTCGTGCATGATCGTTACACGCTCGGAGAATTCATCATCTGGTTTGTCAATCGTCTCCAAGTCGTTGGTCACATCAATGTCAACATCTTCATAACACCACTGTTGCTGAGGCTAAAGAATGCAAAATAATAATAACAATTAAAAATTTTTTTTATTGATCTTTCAATGACCTCTGCTACAGAAATCTTCATTACTGTACATCCTGGTTATAATTACACCTTAGCAGCTAGAGGAAATAAGTAAAGTTCATTCATATTCAGAAAAGTTTGTAGCTAGGAAAACGAATTCAAATAAAAATGGTCACTGACCTACTATTAATTAATGCCTACCAAAACAGCAGCAAAAGCAAAGAAGTACAAATTCAAAGGACGCCAGGCACCGGAGGGAAAAAAATTGTTGATATGTTCAGTGGCGTATCTAGAAACCTTGATATGGGGGAGGGGACTGATAGGTTAAGTGGGGGAACTCAATGATTAGGTGAAGGTGTTTGCTCGCAAAATAAGGTAATTTGAGTTGATTTTTAACTACTTGAACTACTACTACTAGTTTTTTTTTAAGGGGGGGGGGGCCCATGTGCTCAGGCATCACCTTGCCACTGAATATTGGACAACTCATTTTTCTAACACTCACTTGGAAATGGTTAATGAGATACAGATTTTTGAATATTATAATAACTGGAGGAAAAGGCAGATAACCACCATCACCCATTTTCCAATTTATAAAAAATAAAGCCATGGATATACTGTACACATAAACTTTGGCAGCCCGTCACCCCTTGAATCCACCTCTGGTACAGTACAGTATTCCTAAAATGACACCCGATTCTACCTAATAGATCTGATAAGTTTCGGTGACATCACCATTCATGATGCTGTCACCAAACCTGATTAGAGGATTCTGATCAGATGATTGATGACTGGTGCTGTCACCACGAGTCCCTAACCCTAACAGTCTTTCAGCATTTTATTTGTCACCGAAACTGATCACTTTTAGGTAGAATCAGATGAAAATAAAGCAACAATACTATATCCATGCTTAATTTCAATCAGAAAATAAATGTTGACCTTACCTCTTGATTGATGTATTCTGCATCCTGGTCTAGATATGTGTCATAGGTCACACCACACCATTTGGTCTAAAAAAAAATGCAGAATATTTAAACAAAATAAATTTAAGTCCAATTTTGCAAAAAATGATTAAATATAAAATCTAGGCCTTGGAAAAAAGATTAGATAACTGTAAACCATCTTATATTCCTGAGCAAGGGGAATCTTCACTTTGTAGGGTTGTTCAAACAGTAGTAGTAGTAGTAAAACTTAATTATTCATGAAGTACAAATCAATTGAAAACATTCTGTTTTCCATCATGGCTGTGAGAAACCTTATAATTACATTCATTTTATAACACATTACAATATGGTCACACAAAAGTTATCACACTATACAGAATGAAAATTAAAGAAAGACAAATACAAAAAAAATACACAAAAACAAAACAAAAAGTCTACAATTTAGTTAAATATAATTAATTAAATCTATACCTAACAATGGCTATAAATTAAGCGAATGGAGAAAATCCATTCGTCAAAATGGCTAGACAGTAGGCCTAAAAAAAGGAAGCAAACAAACACCAAAAAAATGTAGTATTTTTCTGGAACATAGGTTTTTATAGGCCTACTTACACTACCCAGGGATGTAAGTTATGGTGGGTGGAGGTGGGTGATGCCACCAAGCCTTGAAGTTTTCCACCCAATCTAAGGCTAATTTCATGGTCCTCCACCCACCTGTATTAACCCACTTTTCCATTATTAAAATCCACTCTTATTATTTAGAGTTTACCAATGTTATCACCCACCCACTCTTAAATGTCTACCTTCCATCCATAGTTTTCTACAGAGTTAAACTCTGTGACTGGATATTCATTGTAGCTTTACCACAAATTATAAAAGATAATGCCAATTTATGCAAAAAAAAAATATCAAAACAATACACACTATTTAACACTTCAAAAAATTCAAAATAGAATTCCTCCTACTGTATACATACTATTTTAATGTATAGTTTAAATATAGGAGGAATTCTATAAACATACATACTGTAAACATTATAAATGAAAAGATTAATAAAATCAATGAAATTTGATTACACTACAGTACAATTGATATTAAATAAATTAAAAAAAAAAACCCAATTATTTGCTCTGTAAATTTAATTATTGAACTTCATAAAATGGTTGAATAAGATGTACTTACGCGTTTAATGGTTCCAAATCTATCCAAAGCAAAGAAAGTTCCAATAGCAATAACTGCAAATAGCAATACTACAAGCATTACGCAACAGAATCCACATCTTCTAGGTCGGGTTGGAGCTGCAACGGCAGCAGGGGCAACAAATACTTGAGTCTCAACACCCTAAAAAGGGAGAAAAATGTTGTTTAATTTTTATCTAAGCTGTAAGCATCTTTCACAGTATTTTCTCTTCCATGCCTTGTAGGAGCCTATTGTGTGGATGACACATCAAAAATCTCTAGCAAAATAGGTGTGCAGAATCGTAACTACTTCATAATACTTCAATTGGTTATAAGAGATAGGTCAAGGCCTAATTTTCAGCAAAATTGATGCAAAAATAATTGGCCCTTATTAAATCCATACCGTACATTTTTTTAATAGCGCAGAGAATATCTCAAAAATTAGCTCAAATTTGTGCGAAAAATCACTAGGAAAATAGGTTTGAGAATCATAATTGCTGCATTTTGTTATATTAAGATTTGTTCAAGCTTAATTTTCAACAAAATCTTACAACCCTGGGATTAAAAGTCAAGCATCTCACCCATAAGCTACAGTATTCAACTCCACTCCACAATTCATGAGGGAGAAAAAATTTATGTATTTTCTACATATTTAGCAAAATATCTTTATAAACCCGATTAAATAAAACTATGAAACCCTTAAATTTTCATATTTTTCGGGCGCTTTGCACCTTGGACCACTTTCCAAACGTTTTGTGCGAGTTTGATAATATATGTAATATGACGTCATTGTACCCATATATGGGCATATCACATTTTTTGTTACATAAAATTTGATAGGCCTAGGCCCTAGTGACAGTTTAGACAAAGTGTTAGGTCTACGTTCCATTCACTTGGAATCTTTTTACATGGTGGTCCCTAATTTGTGTTTTCTTCAAATATGTTTTTCTAAATTACTTCGGACCAACGGATCTTCGGACCAAAGGCCCTTCTGACCAATGCACTGACCCCAAATTAACTACCACTTTCATGGTGGGTTTTCCAAAATGAACAATAAATGTCTTGTGAAAAAAAAAAGACTAAAAAAAAAATACACTTAATAATTGTTTACGAACAAAATAGTCATCCATCATATTTCATAAACATTTCAAACTGAGGAGTGCGACGCACCAGAATCTCTAAAGCTAAACCCTCCCTCTCCACCGCTTTGTTGAACCTGAGGATCGATTTCATACACTCACTACTACACTACTTCTATAGACAGCAGCACGGAATCTCTACTTAGGCTAGAGAGAGTAACTACTGTCAGTTGAATTGAACTACGTAACAACAACAACAACGGTTGTTGTAGTAGGCCTAGCTAAGGCCTAGCCTAGCCTTCGCTGAACTTACCGAGTCTTTCAGAGCTGCTTCGATGTCTTTTTCTTTCTTAATTTCGTCCTTTTCCCCTCCATCCGGTTTTGGATTGAGTGTAGGCTTAACCATGTCGCGATTGATTCCGTATACGTTAAATTAATGAAATATTTCTAACAATTTGTTATCCCTATATTTAACACAACTAGGCCTACCCGAAGAAGAATCTCTGTGTTGCTTTGGGTTTTGCGATTACGACGTAGTACGCGAACGCGACGACGAAGTTGGTTCAACACTATGACGTCATCTGGTCACGTTGGTGTTGTGTAGTGCACCGTGTGTATATGAATAGATCACTCCTTAATAGGCATACGAAACTTTCTACAGTACTTTCCAATTATTCCAACGCGAAATATCACCAGAAATAACATTTTTCAAAATCTAAGAGATAAACAATTGTACAGTAATATTAAATTTTTTTTTTTCAATCACCAGAGCGCTCTCGCCCAATCAACCGGCCGCGCGTCTTCAGTGCTTTTAGTTACTTTTAACTGTTACCAACCTCTGAAAGATTTGAAACGCTTGATCTGATGGAGTGTCGTCTCTGTTGACCGGGTACATAAACAAAAATATTTTTAACAAAGCCACATTCGAGTTTCAATAATGTAGGCCTATGTATATGTTTAATTTGAGCAGCCGATACATTTCCTTACTCAAACAAAAAATGAAGGCTGAAGTGGTAAACTTTCCGGAGGCCTTTGACACAATTTCCACCCCTCCTTTACGCCCTGAGTTTTAATTAATTTCTAGGGCCAACATTTCTGAGTTAAACTTGGCTCACGGGCCAAAGATAATATCTGAGTACCGGTAATCAACCATCCTTATAATGTTTTGGTAATCTTCAATTATATTGTTGTGCTACAAACAAATGGGAATCTGTAACTTGAGCAAATAGGCCTACATAGGCCGCCTCGTATTTATCAATATTTTGTTCACACCTAATATTTCATACAATAAATATGTGTATATAGTATATTTATAGAATTCTATAGAAACTAGTTCCTCTATAAAACAATTTTATAGAAAATACTAATTTCTGTAGAAATTGATTAGTCTCCATAGAAGGTCTATAAAGTTCTATAGAATTTTTATGTATGGGTAGTTGGTTACAAAAAATTGCGTTAGGTGTATAATAATTACTTTAGTAATATTAAATATAATATGCATAGGCCTAATTTATAAAACATAATCAACATAAGATGCGCTGATAAATAAATTAGATAACATTAATTAAATGAAATATATATATATATATATATATATATATATGTATATATATATATAATGATATAAGCATGTTATGCTACCAACAACGGTAACAGACAATTTGAAATAAAAGTAGGCCGCGCAATAACCATTGAAGAGAATCACTAAATGGGCACTTGCCTCAAAAGTAGGCCTACTGTACTGTAAAAGTACAGACTAATAGTTAGGCCTAGGCCTAATCTGCTATCGGTGCATTCGGTGTATGTAATTTCATTCGGTGTAAATATTTTTAGAATACTTTTAATAGCTTAATAGCAATATTTTCCCTTTGAGCTTACACCATACCATAAATTATGCTTGCGCAAGTTTGGCCCCTATAATATGCCGTCACGATTACTACCATATTATTATTAGTTTAATTTTCAATACTCAACATGTGCGTAGGCGTAAGCAATCATGAGGCCTCGTTGTATTTCAGCGTCATTGTTTTCATTTAAATCTCGATGGGAAAATTAGGCCATGTGTTTTTAAAAGTTATGTAATTTTCATTGCATACCGTATTACGCAATACCTACGAAAAGAAAAAGTGTAGTAATGGAAGAATTATGTGAAAGGACTTGTTTAAATCACGGTGTTTTTCTCAAAAAATTATAAGAATAAGAATTTAATGGATGATCGTTTTAATGAGGAAATAAATATTGAAATATATAAAGGAAACATTAAACTTGGAAAGAACCCGGGAGTTATTAGCGAGTATTGGTGACGCACAGGATTTTCCACAAATTTCTCGCAAGTACCACGTACGTCAGCCCGGTTTTAACTATTTCGGTCATCGAACGGGCCTATTAAAACCTGCACAAATTTCCACTTAAATCCTATTTAAAAATTAAAGACCACCATTCTGTGGTCCCAAATTAACTAATTTCTTCTATCTTTATCATTCTAATGAAAGACAATGAAAGCTGCTAAACACCACGGAAATCCCGGTCCCAAAAGTGGTATTTAATGGAGGGAGACCTGCAGGCGCGTAACAGGGTCTTGGGTCAGGGGTTGGGGGGGAGGACAATGGTAATAATTTTCCCGGTTAGTAATACCCACCCCACCCCCGCCCCCATATAGAAAACAATACGACATAGGGCTTATCTTATTTAAGGCCACACGTGTGTTTGAAACTAAATACAGTATAAACATTTTCATCATAGTTTTATCTATTACTATTCTTTCACCATCAATACATTGGGTAAAACGATCTATCTTAAATGTTCTTTCTATTTGAGTTGGGACTATTATGTGTTCAATTAACTTAGAAGGCAAAGGAGGACAAGCACAAGCAAGTTCTCCCTCAAAAATGAGCGCAAATTTTTTTTTGAGTTTGGGCTTATGTTATATATGGCCACACACGTTCTTTTGAAACTAATTATAAGCCTTTTCATTATGGCTTTATTTATTACAAACATATTCTTTCACCATAATTACACATTAATGCCCTTTTTTTAGGTAAAACGATCTATCTTAAATTTTCTTTCTTGAGTTTGGGACTATTTTGTGTTTAAATAACTTAGAAGGCTAACCCTAAAAATTGCGCGCGAAGCGCGCAATTTAAAGTTTTGTTTTTAATTCTAATTTCGTTGGAATTGATCAAAACTCCCTAAAATGTGCAATTTTGAGAGGAAATTGGCCTACTTCAACAAGAAATGCGCGCGAAATTTGAGATTTTTAGGCACTTTCAGGTGGTGAAAAGGGCATCTTTAATTTCCACAGATGGATATTTTCCCCTTGTCCTCCGGTGGTTACGCCACTGCAGAGAATATCTGCCAGCTTGATTGAATGAGCTATGGACACTGTTTGAAGTGGAGAAGGGGTTGCAGTGTGTTGTGAGTCATTATGATATCTTCCTTTTTATTCTTGTCTTTTTCTCTTCTCTTATTCTTTTCCTTTTCTTTTCCCCTTCTTTCTCTTTCCCTCCCTCCTCCTTCTGGCCTCTTTCTTTTCTCTTATTACCCAGCCCGTTACAACGGCTTGGTCAGCCCGGTAAAATCTGTCAGGGGGAAAATCTATAATTTAACACCGTGTATCTTTAATAAAAGTAAGAAACAGAAACACCTTTGGAAGACTATCGTATGCTTGTTTATTACACATATTGTAACCAACAAATTGATTAACACTATTTTAATTAATCTATTTAAAATATTTAAATCTTGATTACTATTAT